CTCTCTTCTTGCCAAAGTGTTTGAATGTGACCTGTTTTAGTTTCGCACCCCGCTTTCTGTCTGTCTGTGTCTTACATTTTTGTCTTTTTGCATTCTTCATGTCATTACAAGCTGGTTCTCAGGAAGCCAGAAATGTTGCAGTAAATCTATTAGTTTTTCACTGGTCCCAAAAGCACAGGCAGGTGGAAAATACACTTATGAAAAAGGGGACAACTTGGAAAATGGGGTTTTCTCCCACAGGATGGACCAGTTTTTCAAAAGAAAGCAATTTTTGACTCCCCCAAAACTTTATTTGGAAAAACTTCTGTTGGCCTGGAAGTGGGCAGTAACTACCGTGGGTGAGTGGTTTGAATGGGGCCCTGTAATCCACCTGAATGTTCAAAGAAGGACGTTTCCAACTATTTGAGTTGGTCTAATAAAAGATGATCACATTTACCCAAAGACTCTTGTCTGCCTCATTCAGTGGAGGCGCTTTGCTGTGGCTGCTGGCCGGACACGGGTCTGCACAGGGGTGCTGTGAAGGCTGGTGTCCCACAGCAGCCGTCTCCTGATTTTCCAGCTGGAAGAACTTAGTCTTTTAATTGATAGATGTGACAGGCCCAGAGGGATGAGAGGACAATGACTTTACTGTTTCCTGATGCTTTTCTTGCATTTCTGGGCTGGGAAGGGGCCTGGCTGGATCGGGCATCAGCAGTGCTGCCGTCTCACCAGAGCGTCTGGTCTCAGGATAGTCCAGTTCAGCTTGCTGGACTCGGGCACTCTGGATAGCACTTGGAGCTGAGCTCACGTGTGAAATTCCGTGCGAGATCATCCTCAGATCTGCCCTCTCTGTCGTGTTTCTGCTTCCCAGCCTGCGCTGAGCAATAGTGACGGTCGTGCAACGCCAGAGCGTTTCCTCAGCACGTTCCAAAAACACCGCGGTTCCCCGAACGCAGAAGGAAAGCCTTCAATAAGGCAAGGCTGCTGCGCTGATCCCACGTGGGAGTTGGGACCTAGAGGGGCCTGAAGCCATCGCTGCTGCTGGAAAGGCTCCAGGGGTCTCTTTCTTCTCCCCTCTGCAGCAGCTGCGCCCTCGCGTGATCCCGGCGACTCCGGTGAAGTGGCCCTGGCTTGATCCATCCCTTTGCTTTGGCCCCTTCCCATACCTGTCGCCTCGTGGATAGTGCACTGCAGTGGTGCTTGCCAGACCTGAGCCTGACTCCTGGCTCTGCCACTGCCCTGCTCACAGCCCCTAGGCAAGTCATTATGCCTCCCAGGTCCTCTATAAAATGAGACTGATGCCACGGCCCTCGCGTGCAGAGTGCTCTGAGATGTGCTAATGACACGCACGGGCCCAGTCCTGAGCATTTCTTCTGCTTATCTCTGACAGATTATCCCGAGACAGGAAGCAAGCATGAATCTCTTGAAGGCAGCTCAGGCTCTCAAATAGATTGCAAATAGGAATACCCCTTATCTAAGCAATAATGCAGGGGTGCTTCCTGCGGGAAGGTGAGCGGCCAGGATGCCGGGGTGGCGCAGAGCCCCAGTCGAGGCGCAGCGCTGCTGTTGTTCATTAGATGAGGGCAGGAGCGTCTTTCTGGGTGCTACCGCTTCCTCTGGGCCTGCAAGATGAGCCAGCCAGGCTGCCTGAATCGGCCCTCGCTTGTCGCTCATTTGTCTAGTGCCAGTTGTTCTCAACCGGGCTGTCGTGGGGTGTCGTGCACTACTGGCACAGCTAGGTGTGCCAAACAAAGTAGACCCTGAGATTTCAAAGAGGAATCCCTAGTGTCGGAGCCATTCTGGCCTGTTCTGGGCTATCTGGGCTCTGCGATAAAAGAGTCGCTCTATTATTTTTTCATAGTGAAAAATGAGTGAAAGCAAAGAGCTGGCATTTTCCAAGGCGGGCCTGGAGTCGACAGAGGTTGAGAGCCACTGCTGCGCACGGATGAAAAGACTCGGGGTCTCAGGGAAGAGGTGACTAAGAGCTGGATCTTGCTTTAGTTGCGCTGGAGCAGGGATTGCCTCTGTCCTCTCCGTGCTGACCCGCCGGTGCCCGCAGCCTGCCCCATCCCTTGAAGTCGGGCAAGTGGAAATTTCCTTCCCGTCCCCGCAGCCTTGTGCAAACCTCGTAACAACCTCCCTGGGATTCTTTACCTTTACTTAGCAGAGAAAACAGATCCATAAACCAGGCTCCTTAATTACCCGCCACAAGCAGTCGAAGCTGCACACAGTTGCTCAAGAGGGCAGGGCAGCCCTGCGCTCACGTTCCAGCCGGATGTTTGACATCCCCGCTGGGGTAGAGGCACGAGTGGTCTGCTCGAGGCCTGCTTCTCCTGCCCGTATCCACCTCTCATCACAGCAGCTGCCTCTTGTCTGGGCATCCTAGAGGTACCAGCATCGTGCCCCCAGATCTTTGCCACCTTGGGGGGCTGCATTTCTTTCACCATCCATGTTAGCCTGCAATGGGCACCCGTGGGCCGGGGACTCTCCACCGGTGGCTGAGCCCTAGAGGGAGGTGCAGCGGCTGGCAAGGCAGGATGCATGGTCTCATGGAGGAGACTCAGTGCTGGGCTTCAGAGAGCTGGGTGTGGTCCAGGGCTGAGACACAGGCTTCCTGTGTGCCCTTGGGCAAGTCACTTAATCTCCCCGTGCCTCAGGTCCCCACCTGCAGCAAGGAGATGGGGAGAAGCCCTTCTTCACCTCGCGCTGTCTGAGGACACTGGTCTTGTCAGGGGCCCTCAGCACTCACGGAGGGATAAAGAAGCCTCTGATGCTCCCCAAAGCCCAGCCGAGGCTCTGGTAGCTCGACCCAGTTCAGCTTGGGCTTGGATCGGCTCCTTGCTCAAAGCTCCTGAGAGCTGCCGGGAACCTTTCTGAGCAAGGGGCACCAGCCCAGACCAGTTGTGCACAAAGGGGCTATTTTTCTTCTCGCTGGAGCCACTTTCATGAATGTAATGATGGGCAGGTGATTTACCAAGGGATAAGAGCCCCGGCACGTGCACTGCTCAGGCCCCTGCTCCCGGCCAGGCAGCAATCTCATGCACTGCTTAGCTCCAACAAAACCCAGCCCAAGGTGCCCAGTGCGTCAGGCCAATTGTGCCTCTGACACGGCGTGTCCCCAGCAGTTCAAACTATGAAACAAGCCACATTCTCCAACTTGGCAGGGTTCCCTAACGAATCCTTGAACCATGGAGCCATGGAGATAAATACCGTTGACACATCTATGGGCCGGCCTATCACATTTTATTGCTTTTTTTTTTCACAATGCAAATCCAGTCCAATTTTTTAAAAGCCACCCCCTTGTGCAGGTCAGGTAGGGAGCATTCGGGTGTTCCCGTGAGATAAGCAACCCGTTCCCCAAGGAGCCCGGCACTCGTTACCTACCAAGGTTTTGCTGGCATCAGTACCTGGGGCAGAGCTGCACCCTCCAAACGTAAGTACCTCCACGCAATGGATGAACTGAGTTTTAAACCCTGTATTTGGGGCCAGGGCTAAGAGACAAGGGATTTTAAGGGCGATGATGCCTTGCAGACAGGTGCATCGGAGCGCCTTTCCACAGGTGCGAGTATCGTAACGGGTGCATGGGTTCCTATGGTGGGTTAAGAAGGCAATGATCAGTGACTAGAAGAGGTGTGTGTGTGTGTGTGTGCACAGACATATATACATATAGAGAGAGAGATGTGTGTGTGTGTGTGTATATATATATATATATATATATAGATTATCTATAGATGTCTATCTATATATATATCTATATAGATAGATATATATTTTACAAAAAAACCCCTCTACAATAATTGCCTTAGAAAAACAGAGGGGGTTTCTGCCTTTCCATTCCTTTTTGCTGACTTGGGAATGAAAGAGCCTGCGTTTCTCCCGGGCTGCGTAACGTGCCTTCGCCTTGTGGCAGCACGTTGTGAAGATCGGAAACCGAGCGCTCCCTGCTTTCGGAGCCTGCAGCCCCTGGAAGAGTTACCCTGGGGGGCTCATGCCCTGTTGGGCTGACCCCCTTGCTGGCTGCCACCTTTGCAGCAGGTCAGGGGCCGTGCCCAGCCACCCCTCACAGCTCTGCCTGCTTGGTTTCAGGTCGCCGATGGCTGATGCAGAGTTTGGCGGCATGTCCATAAAGGAGGTGGAAATCGAGGGCAAGCACAAACCCTTGCGACCTCACTGGTACGAGGTGTACGTCCAGCCCTGCATAGCCGAGCTCCTGGGCGCTACCCTCTTCATCTTCATCGGCTGCTCTTCGGTGATCGAGAACGTGGAGAGCACGGGGCGGCTGCAACCGGCGCTGGCGCATGGGCTGGCTCTGGGGCTCAACATCGCCTTTTTGGGCAATATCAGGTATGGGGGCTGTGTGGCTCTGGGGTGGAGGGGGGCACTTCTGTTGCTGGGTGGGCAGACAGACAGGCTGCTGTGTCTCCTGCCTCACTTGTTTTCCATTGCTCCTTGCAATTCTATTGTTTTACCATATTTTGCAAAAAATGCTCTTCTTTGCGATTCTCACAATCCTTGCCCAAGCTAAGGATCCTGGTGGCTTGCCCCACGGTAGTGACCTGAGAGCCATGTGGGCTGCAGGCTCTTTGGGGCAGGAGCTGCCCATGGACAGCCCCTTGCTCGGGGTACCTCAGCTGGGCTGAGGTCAGAGGTACCCTGAGCAAGGGGCTGTCCATGGGCAGCTCCTGCCCCAAAGAGCCTGCAGCCCACACAGAGCCAGGGGATAAAGGCTGTGAGGGAAGCAGAGGCACAGAGCAGGTAGCCACCAGCGTGCAGCGTGGTTAGTGGCAGAGCCTGGGACAGAGTTGAGGTGCACTGGTTCCCATCCCGGTGGCTCACTCTCAAAGAGCTTTGCAAAGGCAGGTGCCTGGTCAGATGCCCATTTTACAGCTCAGCAAACTGAGGTCCGGAAAGCTGGAGAGCAGAACAGTCTGACTAGGAGATTCACTGGGGTTGATGACCAAACCAAGGCATTGAGGGAAAAACTCCAGCACAAGACAAGCCCAAAACACCTCAGTCAGTCTTGTCTGAAGGAAACCTCTCCGCTTCTTCAAAGCGTCCTGTTCCTAGCCGGATATCTGCCGGCTTGGGCCGGAATTCGGAGTCATTTGGGTCTGTCTGAAAGGGCGTTTTTTGGCACTTATGCCGTTCTCTAAGCGAGCCCTGTCCAGCTCCGATTTGGGTGCAGAGCTGCTCCGGGCACTGTGGGCTTCCCATCCCGTGCTCCCCACATCACAGTTGTTCAGTGTGCGAGGTAAAAACCTTCTCGCCCTGCCACTCCAGTCTGTCGTGGTTGGGGCGGCTGCCCAGCCGTCGGCACCTCCAGGGAGAGGGGGCAACGGGGATGTTGTTGATGAGGGACAACCCACCCATGCTGCCTCGTGCCGTGAGACCGATGGGAGAAAGGAGAAGTAAAGCACCGAGATGCTTCAAACCGGCGGATGCATCCCTCTGCAGGTGCTCGGGGAGCAAATGTGTAGGCTACGAAGTGAACGTTTTTAGGATGCATTCAGGTCCCAGCTGGGCCACTCGCTCTGCAGGAAGAAACAGGATCTGGTCCCTTCTGTTTGCTCCAGTTGCTGGGCCCGCTGCCTGCCCTGGCACAGGGGCCTCCCTTCCAGCTGCTTAAGATTTCACCTGGTCTCTGTTTATTCCTCCAGCAAAGCCGCTAGGCCAGAGCAAAAGGAGTATCTGCCCGGTGCTCTTTCTGGAGCAATGTGGTGGACACTAGCTGGGGACTTGGCCTGGGCGTTCAAAGTGATGTTGCAGGGCGCTGGAGGTGATTATAGCATGATACTTATTTCCATGAGGGCTAGAGAGGTGTTGCGGGGCAGACACTAGGTCCGCGGCCTCTGCTTGAGGCTGTCCAGTGACCAAAAAGGATGGAGAGGAGATACTGAAACTCCGCAGTGTGGTCCCTGAAAAGGATGCTTCTCCGCCGGGTTCACGGCTACCGGAGCAGGTGGTGCCTGCACTACGCGGCGGACCTTGGGGGTCATTTGGCTTGGAGCAGGTCATGGGGTGCGAGGTTAATAATTTAGCAGGGGCATCGGCCTGTGCTGACTAAATCAGGTTGGGAAGTTTGTTTGCAGGACAGAACAAGGCTGAGCAAACAGGGCTGTCCTGATTAGCATTGCCCCCCGCAGACTAGGCTGCAGTCCGGGGTTTGTGACTTATTATTAACTGGCTATTGTTCAGCGTTATCTGTGCGTGCGTGTGTGCGTTCAGCGTTATCTGTGTGTGGGTTAATGTATAGGCAAGTTGGCAGGGAAAGCCAGGCACTCGGGTAACCGCTGCCGGATTCAGAGGAAAGGAGGTAAATAAGGCTCAAGCTTTGCAACAGCAGTGGTAGACTTGGCACGCTGCACGCTGGTGGTTAGATGAGCCAGTCTGACACACTAAAAGAGGTGTTTGGGGGGTCCCCGAGGATCAGCAGCCCTGGCTGGGGTGCAGGTTGTTGGCCTTGATTTACCTCCACCCTGAGCACGCTGCCCCGCGGTGCCAGCCCCTGCCACCTCTGCCAAAGACCACTTCGTGTATCTGGGCTGGAAACAGGTGGGAAATTCACCTTTTGAGGTCACCGCTTCCCCCTGCAGCCTGTTTTGGGGGGCTTTAACTCAATCCTGATTATTCAGGCCCATGCCCCAAAGGAGCTGACGGTCCATTCCCCTTCCTCATGCTTTGAACCCTGTATGCCTTCACCTTCCTTGCAGACAAGCAGTTATCACAAGAGGCGCCGGTGGCTGGAAGCATGTCCTAAAGTCCCCGTTCCTCGCCTCTTGTGACACAAACCCCAATGTGCTTCCTCCAATGGGGGCCAGGCGCTGCAAAGAGTACGGCACCAGCCAGGAAACCTCCCCCAGATCAGGCCCATCCTTTACACGCTCAGCGCCACCGCAGCAGGATGATGTGGGAATTCACCCGCGGAGGTAGCACCCATTGAAGCCCACAGCTGCAGGAGGAATCGGACACGGGGCCTGGGAGAAGCCAGCCCTAATCCTCCCGCTTGACTAGCCTCGCTGCTCCAGTCGCGAGGCTTTCTCTTCTGCTTCCCAGCCCATGTCTCGGGGCCAGCGAATTCCCATTTGCTTGTCCTGCAGTGTAAATAGCTCCTCTCCCTCCCGGGTGCTTCTCCCTGGTGTATTTATGGAGAGCAATCAGATCCTGCTCCGCCTTTGTTTTACTAGGCTAAACAAGACAAGCACTTTCAGCTCCTCGCACAAGATAGCTCTTTAATTAAAGCCGAAGAATAAGACATAATCATAGTTCCTAAACTCTCCGACTCAGCGGCTTCAACAGCAATTTATTATCAGGATTTATTGGTTATGAAGCGGGTTCGTTAATGAGCGTTCCCCCTGGTAATCTGTTTTAATTAAAAGGAATTAGGATTTGCTTCACGCGAGGCGATAGAGGCCCTGACGCAGGAGCGGGCTCTACCAGAGTGGACAGAGAGCGCCGGGGTCAAATCAGCGCGGCCCTTGCGAGGGGGGTCGGCCGCTGTCCCGTCTAGGGGGATGGCTCTGTGCCTGCGTCCACCCATGGTTTTAGCTTGAGCAGTGCAGATGCGCGCAGCTGGCCGTAGCCCTGGACTCCCTCCAATGCGCTCGGTGCGAGAGGCCAGTATTGCCCATGCTATCCCCATTCCACAGATCAGAATACCGAGTCCCGGGAAGGCACGCCAGCAGACCAGGGGATCTGATGCAGGTCTCCTGCAGTGCCCTGCCCTTCTACTGGCCCCAAACCCGGGCAGCCTACGCAGGGTTTGCTAAGCAGCCGTCTGCAGTGGGAGCGGGGCAGGGCATCTCCAGGCCAGGCTCTGCCCTCGCTCCGCACCGAGGCGGGATGCCGGCTTTGGCCCTCAGCAAAGCCTCTCGAGCGGCCTGTGCCTGACGGGGGAGCAGAGGCAGACAGCAAGGAAGAGCGCTTTTGACCCCGGCGGCTGCTTCCTCAGCCCCTCGCTAGAGGAAACCGCAGCGCCGCGTTCTCGTGGTAGCTCGCCCGGGGTATTTATAGCTGAGCGGCGACGGCACCGTCAGCTGCTGCGAGACCTGCAGGTGCAAGGCTGGGAGCTGTCCGTGCAAGCCCTCCTCTGCCCGGCAGCAACCGTCTCCCCGACCTCCCTTCCGCCCCATCCAGGTTTCGGCCACCCCCCGCCCCGAGCTGCGGTGTGGTCAGGTTGCAGCTCTCTGTGACATCTTGCCAGCTTCCAGTGTGGCGCCTGGTTTTACCCCTCCATCCCACACCCAGAACTAGCCTGGCTAAAGCCTCCGAGCGGCACACACTGCCCAGACCTGCCTGGACATTGGGTTTAAAAACCCACGATGTTTAAAGAGGTCTGAACCCAACTCCCAGGTGTGATGTGGGGGCCAACTTCCTAGCCCTGGCGGGATGGGACCCAAGGGCCGAACCTCTTAACGACTCTCTCTGATTAATTGCAGTGGTGGCCATTTCAATCCAGCTGTCTCCCTGGCGGCGTGGCTGATCGGTGGGCTGAACATCGTGCTGCTCCTCCCTTACTGGGTTGCCCAGATGTGCGGAGGGGCGATAGGTGCTGCCTTGGCAAAGGTATGGCCCTCGGAGATGTACGCTTGCTAGGGAGCAGAAAGGGTTAATCTGAGGGGGGCCATGGGCACAGGCCTTTGCGGGGCAGGGCATGGTTAGGGGGCTCTGCCCTGCTCCATACCAGCTTGTCCCACGATGCTGGGATGAGGCCAGGAGCAATGCTAAGCAAGCGGGCAGGGGCGCGATCCAGCATCAGCCCCCACTGGGCTTCCTTCTGGTTTTGACTCTGCCAGGATGCCCGGGTTTGACACCCGCTCTCCTGCAGACTCACCTGATGGTGCTGGCCGAGTACTTCCCTGCTGGGAGTTTAGGGTTGCCTGTCGTCAACGGGGATGTGCTTGTCCCTGGTACCCGGGGCTTGTTCACTGGCACTCGACGGCAAGGGCTGGTTACATAGGACACATGCAAACTTCTTCTGCAGCCGCAGGGATCTCGGCGTCCTCTGTTCTGCAACCGCCTTCACATCCTTTGCTGGCTACAATAGCGTTTATAAATTCCCAAGCAGCCCTTTGGAAACCACTAGGCAGATACACAAGGATAATTCGTTCCTAGCTTTGCTAGGATCGATGGGGTCTAGCTCCCTGCTAACTATCTCAGGGCTGAGGGTCTGTGTGAACGAGCTGATGTACGCCAAGCAGTTAGAGGAGACTTTCAGAAAGTAAATGATGGGAGTAGACCGACACGACCTCTCCCGGTGCTGCGAATGCACACGTGTCCGACCACCCGTGATGCAGAGGGTGGAACGGTAATAAGTCCAAGCCTTGTCCTCTTAGGCCATGACGTCGGGTGAGAGATACATCAATGCTACAGGTGGGGCTTTCTCCACCATCACGTCCGACGAGCAGATCCCCGCGGCCATCGTGGGCGAGATCGTCATGACCTTGTTCCTGGTCCTGGCTGTCTGCATGGGAGCCATCAATGAGAAGACCAAGACCCCTCTGGCACCCTTCTGCATTGGCTTCACGGTCACGGCGGACATCCTGGCCGGGTGAGTGGGCCTGGCCTTTCCAGAGACCTGGGCAGCCCGTGGGTGCTGTCTGCCAGCGAGCAAGGGAGCCTGAACGCGGTCCCTAGAGCAGACAGGTATCTGTTCAGGTCCAGGCACGGTGGGAAACACAGCGGGGGGGAGCCTGAGCCCCCTCAGTGCCCCCTGCGTGCGGTCTGACCGCAGCAATCCCTTCTATGACTGTCCAGCACCGTGCACCGGCCAAAAATCTCAGTGGGGAGCTTGTGACGCGAGCGCACAGGAAGGTGTCAGTAAAGCTGATCTTAGGGGACCGACCGGCCGGGTGTCTCAAGCCAGGCCAAGCTGTTCCCTGGGTCCTGGCGTGCGGATAAAAGCCCAGCTGGCGACGTTTGCTCCCGCGGCAAAGCGCAGCTGGTTTGCTGGGAGCCGTTTCTCACCGCGGGCTCTCGCTGCTGTTAGGAGGAAAGGCCCAGCCAGCTCGGCCTGAGCGCACGCTGCGTTTTCTCCCGTCCCTGGAAGGAGATAACGAGAGCCGGCAATTATGAACGCTAATGGCTGTTGGGTTAAGGCAGGGCCCCCTCTAGTGGGACGCGGAGCTCTCCGTTCAGTGCTCGCAGACGGCGGGTCAGGTGCAAGCGTCTCTGTTCTGCGGAGGGATAAGGACCAGCGCCCCTCGCCCGCTGCTCCCTCCGGCCCGCGATCCCAGCACCGACCCCCCAGCTCCACGCTCTCCGCTTCGGGCTAGGCCCGTTTCGCCAGGGCTGGCCGGACGCATGCAGCCTGGCATCCGCCAAGCCGAGGCATTGGGCCCGGCTCCCTGGACTGCGGGCTGCTGTGTAGCCCTGGCTACTCGGGGCAGCTCGCCGGGCTTCGTGGCCGAGCCGGTTGTTAGTGGAAGCGACGTGTCCGCGGCGTCCTGGTCTAGCGGGATGACCGGCGGCTCCTGTGTCCTCTCTCCTAGGGGTGCTGTATCGGGGGCCTGCATGAACCCTGCTAGAGCTTTCGGGCCAGCGCTGGTGGCAAACTACTGGGACTATCACTGGCTTTACTGGGTGGGGCCCATGATAGCCAGCCTGATCGCCGGACTGCTGATAAGGTAGGCGCTGAGACGCTGCACGCGGCGGGAAGGGGAGGAGGAGGGCGGTCTGCCCAGGGAGTGGAGGGGTCCCGTGTCCCAACCCCGGCAGCCGTCACCTCTGCCTGGTCCCCCTTCCCGTACCAAACAGCGGAGCCCATCCTGGCTCCTGGCTCCAGCCTGGGCAGGGGTCTGAGCACCATCCGCGGGGAGGACCAACACCCTGCGGGGGCCTGCCCAGCCTCTTCTGACCCCGAGCCAGGTCTCAGGGCTCCAGAAGCATTAGTGAGAGGGGTTTGTGGGGCCAGGCTTCATTTGGGATCCCGGTCTGCCACCCGCTCGCTTGCCGGAAAATGTCGGCTGGGGCAGGAGCCGGGCACAGATACTCGCGCTGACCCACCCTTGCTCTCCTCCCTCCAGGCTCCTGATCGGTGGCAGGGAAATCCGCCTGTTTCTGAAGTGAGACCGGGCGCGGGACTGTGCCTCGGCTGGGTCCGTGGCCCCATGCGAGCGCCTGCTGGTCGGGAGCTGGGCCGGACTTTGGCACGGGAAAGCTCTGCCTGACCCCGTGCCGGCCTGTGGCATCTCCGGCGTGGTGGGGGGAACCGCATGTCGCTGGCTGGGGGGGGACTTGCCTCTGAAGCCGTGGAAATCTGCGGGGTTGTCATTGAAGGACGGGGCTACGTGGCTGCACCCCACAGCTCCAGGCACTGGCCAACCCAGCGGGCACAACGAGACGAGGCCGAGCCGCGGCTGGAGCCCGGAGCACAGGCGTGGAGAGGGTCGGGGCGGCGCAGGAGGGGTCGGCAGGACTGACTTGCTCTGCAGTGGCTCAGCTCTGCCAACACGCTGCCCCTCGGCCTCTCCAGCCTGCAGGATGCTCCGTCTTCTTGCTCCGGGGACCGCAGCTCTCTCCCGGCTCTTGCCAGGCCCCCCGAGCTGCGGGAGGCACCCTGTCGCTGCACCCCTCTGGCAGACGGGGTCCTGGCTTGGCTCTTGCCAGCTCCGAGCGCCGGCTGACAGCTCTGCCTGTTGTCAGCCCGATGTGGTGAGCCAACGCAGAGCAATGAGGGAAGTCCCCAGCGCCAGGTGGCTGATCCCGAAACTCTTTAGGGGAACAAAGGGGCTGAAGTATCGGCTCAGGCCCACGGGCAAGGAGGTCTCCACCCCCGGCACCCGAGCCAGGCATGCTCCCCTCTCCAGCCCCCACGTCGCACTCGCTCCTGCGCTTCCTGCCTGCGACGGGGCCGACTCCTGCATCGCCGCGCTGCTAGTGCGGGGACCGGCCAGCAGAGGATGCTGGAACAAACGGTCCTGAGCCATCGGGACATGCGGCTGCGTGGGGCCAGGCCTCATCCTGTCCTAGCCCCTCGTGGCGTTTGTGGCTGCGAATGCATGGAGCGGTTTTTGCAGCAGGGAGCAGGTCACTAGCTGCCATCTCGGGAGACATCACGCTGCTCCGGGGGCCAGGGCACCTGCCCGGGGCTGCAGGGACGTGGGTTCGAGTCCCTGCTCCGCCACATGCCACCTGTGAACCCGTGCAGGTCACCACCTGTACAACGGGGAGAACAGCAGTGTCCGTACAGGCTGTGCGGTGCTCAGATGTGCTGGTGACAGACCCACCATGCTGGCGGTGCACAAGGTTTGCACAGAAAATTAGAGCCCGAGCTTGTGCGGGAGCCAGGGAGCCCTGTGGTTGTGGAGCTGGGGCTGAAAGCCAGGAGTGCCTGGCTCCAGCCTTTGTAGGCATCCAGTACCTGTGCCCTGCAAAACTCTGCCACTGCCTCCCAGTGTGGATTTGGGCAAATCATTTCACCCCTCTGTACCTCCGTTTACCCATCCGTATAATGGGAAGAGCAATGCTGACCTGCTCCGCAAAGGCGCGGCGGGATGTCTTAGCCAATAAAGTATACGGTGCCACAGGAAGGCTTTGTGCTGCTGCTGATTTTTCACATTCTCACGGTTTGGCCCCCAGTTTCCCGTGCCAGGTGCCTGCTACAGGCTGGATCCTTCTGGAAAGTTTCCGCCAAGACGCTTGAGCGGCTTCCAAGAACAAGGTTAGAGAAAAACATGTTGTTTTCCCAGCGCTAAGTCCCAACAGGCATTTAACTGAGAAAATCTAGTGCTCACGTGTCCGAGAGGAAGCGCTGGAAACCTGGCAGGGCGCGTTGTCTTGAGAAGAGCCACGTGCCGCTCCCAGGAGAAACATGCTGGAGTTTGGCCCCGTTGTGGCACCTGCCACCTCCGCTCAGTAGAGATCCACGAGGCTTGGCAGCGAGCACCTGCCGCCCCTTAGAGACCCTTTGTGCAGCTGCCCGGAGCACGCTGCCTGGGTGGAGGTCGGGCTGGCAAAGCAAGGACCTTGGCCTGGGGTGTTGGAGGGCAGCCTGGGCATGGCATGGGAAGGCGCAGGAGAGGGGCAGAGGCTGAGCGCAGCAGGAGTGGAAGGAAGACCCCTCTCCTGCAATGCAACCTATAGCCTCGGTGTTCCTCTGTCACCCAGGCTCTGTGCATGTGCACGTGCGTGTGCATCTTCATGTGTGTGTGCATAGGGCTGGGCCAACTGAAGTAGGAGGATCTCCTCCTGTGCTCGGTTCCTCCGTCAGCGCTGGAGGTGGATCCAGAGGTCCCAATGCAGCTGGGGCTGCACGGGGGGATTGCGCTGACTTTGCACCAGGGTGCTACTGGTTCCATGTTCCTTCTTTGTCTCTTTGCTCTTGTTAATGCACCCTTATTCCGCGAGAGCCTCTGCCGTCACGGCCCAGCCCGCTTGTGCGTGTGACTTTGGTCCCGTCTTAAAGGATGGGGGTGTCTCTTCCACCCCCGGGCCCCCCGTGTCAGTGCCCGGGTGCTGGGCTGACACGGCAGGTGTAATGGAGGTGGTGGCTGTCTGTCCAGCTGCGGCCCTGTTTGTGCACGTGTCGTGCAATGGGGGTTGGCCCCTCTGCCATCCAGGGCATGGGTGGACCGGACCAACGTGCCCTCGGCAATCGATGCGGGAAGGCACTGCCTGGAGAGGCGGCTGAGATCGCCGGGTGGGGGCTTTGGGGGCCATGAACGCACGCATCCGGCTTGCTCCATGGTGAGCTGCGTCCCCACCTGGGCGGCTGCCCTGCCCTGTGCTGGCCTGTGCGGAAGCGGGTAGGAAAAGCGATGAGCAAGGAAAACCCCCCCGTGGCAAGCCCCCAGCCTGCAGCTTCTCCCTGTGGCCAGGGTCTTGGCAGCCGTCGGAGCTGCTGGCTCGGGAGAGAAGGCGGCGAGCAGCATGGCACCGACCGGAGATGCTGCGAGCATGGTTGCCATAGCAACCCTTAAAAAAGCCCAACCACATCGAGCAAGGCGTCAGCCTCTCCCTGCGAGAGCCGGGAGCCCTGCAGCATCGGCTGGAGGGAGAAAGTTGGGCTGAAGTTTTCCTCCGGGCAGTGCAGGCCCCGACCCCGCACTGGACGCCCGCAGGGCTCGCCTCAACCCCAGGCAGGAGGCTGAGCACACCGCTCCCGGCAGGACCGGGGCCCTGTTGTGGGCAGCTGCAGGCCTGGCCGGGAGCAAGCCCCTTGTTCCCCTGGGAGGAGGCCGAGCCCTCCGGCGCCTCCAGCATCGCAGCCTCTCCCGAGCGCCTGCTCGGAGCCCTGCTCCTTTCATGTCCCTGCCGCTGCCGTTGTGCTAGGAGCAGAGAGGATGCCGCGTGCATCGTCCTGCTGTTATCACGTTCATGTAGCCGGCTCTCTCACCCGGCGGCTCTCTCTCCCACATGGCCCGGGCTTTGCCAGGCCCCACCGTGGTTTCAAAGGGTGTCTGTAAAAGAGCTGCATCTTTGGGACCGCTGGCAAGGCAGAGGAGCACAGGGAAGGAGCTCCTTTCCTCTTCTACTTGCACGAAGCGCCGGGGAAACGGGCACTTGCAAGGGGTGGCCGCAAGCTCCAGCCAAGAGCACGGCAAATACAGAGCCACCCACCCCGGCTGCCCTCTCCTCCGCCAGCCTCCTTGTTTTGCCGCTGATGTGTTTGGCGTGCTCCTGTTTAATCTGTCAGGCAGCATCTGGAGCAGTGCAATGGGCTTTTTTTTCCCCCCTTTCCTCAGTGTTATTAAAATGCTTAATTTATGCTAATTAAATATCAATTAACTTCCGAGCACTTCATGTGCTTTGAAGATGTAAAGTATGTCTCTCTGCCCTGCAATTACGGTTGCGTCAGGCCGGGCTGCGTTTGGGATCTGGGACAGGGCTTCCCAGCGCGAGGGAGGGGGCAGGTGCGGGGAGCACGTGGGGCACGAGGTTGGATGGGGCCCCGCGGCCTGGCGTGACTCTTAGGCTCTGCCCTCACTCAGCAGCTGGGCATTTCGCTCTGTCTAATCACAGCCCCAGGCTTTATTCATCGCCTTGGCTGTGGGGATGTCCGCTCCAGCCCTCTCCGCTTGCCCCGGTCCGTGGCCAGTCGGGCACGCGTCTTGGTAGCACCGGTGCCAGGCTGCAGAGGTAGCGCCCGCTCAGCCCGGCTGGGCTGCGGGATCGGGGCTCCATCTCCCGCCGCCGGGTGCTGATGCATCTCCTGATGCCACAGGGATGTCGCGTGCTGCTGAAACTCCCCCGAACCTGCCTCAGCTCGGAGGGCCCAGCGTGAGCGGGCGGTGACTCAGGAGCTATTTGAGCTCAGTTATTCATAGCATGACTGGGGAGGGGGCGGTGGGTGCTGGTCCCGTTCCTGGGGGTGGCTCCTGGCACACCGGCAGCGATGGCGTAAAGGATCGGTCCTCTCTTCCCCAGCCCCTGGGGTGACGTCCTGCTGGGTGACGATGTCCCAGTGCTCCCCCAGGACAGGCCAGAGCCTCCTGCTCCGCTTCAGACTCCCCCCTCCATTGGGACGGGGCCTGTGCGCCGAGGCAGCCGTGCCCTGGCCTTTGAGACGGGAAGCGCCCGACCTCCGTGCAATGGGGACGTGAGCCGGTGGTCTTGCAGCCCCCTGCAGAGCTGCTCCTCCAGCCTGGCGGCCGGCTCGCCCCGTTCCCGGGTCCTGTGCATGGGTGCTGGGGAGGGCCCCGGGCTGGGCAGCGGTCGTCCTCACGTGGGGAAGCTCGGAGGCACCAGGAAGACGGTTTTGCTGTCATGTTTAATGCCGTAGTCGGGTGTCTCCCTGGACTGGACGGTGCTGCCCTGAGAACCCACTGTGCAGGGCCTGCTTGAGTGGCTGCAGGTCCATTGCGAGCCCCACACACAACCTGCCAGGCCGAGGCTGGGGGTTCGGTCCCCTTCCTAATGCACCCGGGGCTGCCTCGGAGGTGGAGCAGGAAGACGAGACAGCGGTACCCGGGGCTGGAAGCAGGGACCCGCTTGCATTGTTGCAGCTGAGAAAGACTCTGTGGCAGCTGGACCCCATGCCCAGGTACCTCAGACATGCACGTACCCGCTGCCTGCCATGTGAGTGCCACCTTTGTGCCCGCTGCCTCCAAGGCCAAGCCCTGTTCTGCACAGAGCTGCGGGCTCCAACCCTCGCCAGGTGCTTCCCACCGCCGGTTAGCTCTGCAGCCAGGGGCTGGATCCTGTCCGGAGGAGCTGCCTCTGCAACATGCAAGCTGTTTTCCTTGGGGCCACGCGCTCAGCTGGCGCACAGGCACCCCAGGAGCAATGAGACTGGTCAAGGGCTGGCCGTAGAGCCAGGAGCACGGTGCTGGGCCCAAGTCCTTGTTTCATGGCAGCTGGGAGGAGCAGAGCTCCTCTCCCCAGAGCTGGGGCTGAGCAGTCCTGTGCCGGTCATCTCCCCTGGAATACGGCAGCTCCTGGGAGGGAGCACATCGGCTGTCTCTGCCCGCTTGTAACTGGGGTTTGCCTTGCTGGACCCAGCACCGTGGACGCCCAAACTGTCCGAACAGCAGGGAGGAAGGGGGAGAGGGTCCATTCAGTGCCTGGGATGCTTAAGGGGAGGAGGCTCGTGGGCCTGGATCCAGGCACGGGCCCTGGGAGAAAAGGAGGAGTGAGCAAGGTCTTCCTCGTCCTCCCTATGCCCTTCGTGCCATCCCCTCTGGTTGCTATGGCAATGACTGATGGCACGAATGCAGAGGGATGAGCAGGCTCCCAGCTGCACGAATTGCAGCTTGCCCTGGCTAATAAATGAGGCAGGCAGAGAGCGAGCAGAGATGATTGGGATCTGGGTTCAATCACACCTGCCAGGAGCCGGAGCAGGAGTCAGCACACGTGTGCACACGCGTGCCGTGCTACAGGAGGGGCTGCTCCAGGGCTGTCCTCGGGGACAGAGCTGGGCGCTGACACTTGCTGACCCCCGCGCACTGCTACGTGCCTCTCTCCTCTGGGTAGGCCGGTCCCGGGGTGCTGGCAGAGCCCCCCAAGGACACAGCTCAGAAAGGTGGGGAAGGGTCTGCGCGGGGCCCATCCTGCTCATTCCCCCTGTGCATTTCCAAAGCGCCGATCCCCAGAGCATCAGGACAGCCCAGAAACCTTCTGTCCCGAGGGCTTCCCAGCCCTGTGCAGAACGGGGATCTCCCAGCTCTGTGCGCGCCACGAGGGTCTTCCTGGCAGGTGGTTCCTTTCAGGGCAGGCCGAGAGAGTCCCACAGATGCTGGTGTTCGTTAGAAAAGATTGCTTTGTTAAACGTGGGACAGTTGTGCACAGCCGTGCTCGTCTCAGCCCGGCTGTTGTTGGGAAAGGGCTCTTGGGGCCGGGCTGGAAAGAGAAAGAAAGACCCTCCCCGTGCACATGCAGCCTCTCCCTCAAGCTCTCCGGCTGGCCTCGGCGGTAGGTCTCAGTCACCGGCCTGTCCTGGAGTCTCTCTTTCCACCTCTTTCCTGCCTCCCATGATGGAAGGATCCCTGCCTCTGCTCACTTCATGCTCCAAGCTAGCTGGAGCATGGAGGTCAAACACCCACGAGACACCAGCCGTCGGGCCCTGAGGAGCAAACCCAGGCCGGG